TAACATATGTGCCCTTTTCCCCCCACAGACCCATTTTAGGCTTCCCCCATGCCTCTCAACCCCAGGCCTTCACCACCAATTGTCTGTGTCCATGGGTTTTGCATATATGTGCACTTTGTTTCTGCCATCTGAGCCACCTCTAAAAAGGAGTTCCTGGAATCCTACTTCAAATATTAGGACTGGGCTTTCCCCATCCAATCAGAGCTGTGCAGCTACAGCTCTAGCAACCTCTTCACTGACCAATCAGAGCAGCTCTATTCCAACCAATCAGGATAGTGCCTTTTGGATCCATCAAACTGTGAGAATCTGGAGTCCTCATTTGCATGAGGATGGGCCAATCAGGGACCATCTACATAAGTCAGTTCCCCTCTTGCTCTGGGAGTGCACTTTCCCTTTCCATGGAAGAATAAAGGTGCTTTTCTCTGGCTGAACTGAGACACCAAAGATGTCTCCAGAGCAGAGCAGAACAGCACAGGCCAGCAGGGAACCCTCCACAGCAAAGGGGGGCAGAGGAGCACAGCAGAGCTGTCCAGCCAGCGAGGGGCCTGGCCCAGGGCTGCCTCACAGCCTTGCTGGATCACAATTGAGCTGTTTTGCCTGAATAACGTTTCCTTCTTTACCACACCCCAAATTGGGGATTCTTATTGGTGTTGAATTGGTGCCAATGACCATCGGTTAAGTAGGAAAGAACCTTCAAAGCACAGGGAACCTCCTGGGCAAAGGAACGGAAGTGGGAGGGTCCCAGATGCATTTAGGACAGCACTTTTCAGCTGGTGTGCCACAAGAATTTTTAAAACATGCAATACCTGACCCGCCGTTGTGGCTCAGTGGTTGAGTGTCTACCTGTGAACCCGGAAGTCATGGTTCGGTTCCAGTCAGGGCACATGCCCTTGGTTGCAGGCTCAGTCTCCAGTAGGGGGCATGCAGGAGGCAGCTGATCAATGATTCTCTGCATCATTGATGTTTCTATCTTTCTTTCATCTCCATTCCTATCTGAAATCAATAAAAACATATTTTTAAAAATGCAATATCTGACTATTTAGTCAGGGCACCGACCTTTTTCTCCTTAGATTGTCAAGTAAAAAAATGACAACAGCCAACACAATAGCCATCTGGTGTGAATGAATCAAAATTATGCCTATTTTTGTTGTTGTTGTTGGTCAAATTGGCAAAAATATCTTTTTTTGGTGTGCCACAGAATTGTAGTAATTAGTTTATCTGCCATGAGATGAAAAAGGTTGAAAATCACTGATTTAGGGGATGGTGGTGAATCTATGTGGCTGCAGGATAGTTTAGCCTGTGGGGAGTTAAACCTGCAGCGAAGTCTGAGTTGATTTAGGAGGACTTTAAATGACAGAGAGGTATGGACTTTGCCTTTTGCAGAAACAAACTGCAGAGGATTTTTGCGTGCAGGACAGTGACACGATTCTACCAGTGTTTTAGGCAACAGCTAAAAGAGTTCAAATATACAAGAGTAGGTACTCAAATGGCACCTTCTTGTCCAGCTGAGAAGAGAGGTTTTTAACTACATAATTAAATTCACTGAGGGGGAAAGGGCTCTAATTTCTCAGAGCCACATGACCTTCTTCCAATTTTATAAACAGATTAAAAAAAAAAAAACCACACAAAACAAACAAATCTTCAGACTTGGATCTCTGGGAAAACAGAAGTAAATACTGACACAGGCTTGCTTTGTTTTCCCAGGAGAGGTCTCCTAGGCAATTTCTCTAATTATCTAGGAAAAAAAAATTCAACTTGCTTTTTCCCTTTTGAGGGGAGAACGGCAGTATTACCTTCGATTCGCCAGCTTTAGTTTGGACGCAGTATTAGTCCCTTAGGGACTCTCTCCAAGGTCTCTGAGCAGAGTGTCTCTAGGCATTTGTTCCCAGCAACCAGAAGGAAGCTTAGAAGTAGGAGACTGGGGCCCTCTCCAAAGGCCTTATTTAAAAAAGACAAAAACTAAGGCGGGCTGGGGGCAGGGAATAATTCCGAGGGCATACCAACGGAGGCGGAAGCTGTGCCCTCGCCTCTGGTCAGGGCCTCTGAACCAGTGAACGCCTCGGTGATACGCCCAAAGATGCACAGTGGCGCCTGATCTCCCGCCGGCATCCCTCGGCACTTAGTTCCGCCAGGCTCCCAAAGGGGCGGTTGCAGCTACAGCCTGGCGTGCCGCGCAACCAATGAGAAGCCAAGAATGCCCGCCCATCTCTAATTCTGACCAATGGGCGCCCAGGACTTTAGCTGGCGAATGGCGTCTCCGTTGCCGGAGAAGGGAGCCAAGCCCCCTTAGAGTTGCCAGTAACAGACATGGCTGCGGCCCTTGGAGGAGGGGACGCGAAGTGAGGAGGGGGCAGGGAGGGGAGTGGAGTGGACGCAGGCGAGGAGGACAGACCCCCGGGCCCGGGTAAGTACCAGAAGGCCCGAGGCCCGAAGCCAGGGAGCAAGGGGGCGTGGGCGCCGCCTTCCGCGTCCTCTGTATTCTTGGCCCAGGCTATTGGAGTCTGGGGTCTGCACCCAGGGAAGGGCCTGGGGGAATCCCTTCCGAGGGGGTGTCCGGGGACTGGCTCTTGCCTCCAGCTCCTGGTCGCTTCCTTCCCTCGGCTGCTCACGCTTGCCCTCGGCCCTGGCTGGGCCCATTGAGTGTCCCGCGTCCAATCTGAACCTCCCGCCAACAAAGAGACCCTGCCCCCGGCTTGTCGGCTTGTCGCTGGGCCCTGGTCCAGAGGGCTTTCAGCGCGGACGTCTCGTGTGTGTATTGGCCCCTGCGAGTCCCCGGCCTCGCCCCCCGCCCCACCGCGACCCCAACACGGACTGCTGTCTCCCCTGCGCGCGCCCACAGCTGCCGCCCGGCCCTGCTGCTGGCTGCGCCCCTGGGTCCCCTCCCTACGGATGGGCTTCTCTGCCCCGAGCAGCGACGTTGCAATTTGAAGCATGCCCTGCTTTTTTTTCTCTGCTTTTTTCTTTTCTTTCTACTTTTCCAGACTCGTTTAAAGACTCCTTCGAAACAACCAGAGGACCACAATCCTTGGCATCCTCTAAACCAGCGGTTCTCAACCTGTGGGTCGCGACCCCTTTGGCGGTCGAACGACCCTTTCACAGGGGTCGCCTAAGACCATCCTGCATATCAGATATTTACATGACGATTCATAACAGTAGCAACATGACAGTTATGAAGTAGCAACGAAAATAATTTGATGGTCGGGTCACAACATGAGGAACTGTAATTCAAGGGCCAGAAGGTGGAGAACCACTGCGAGTCTAAACTGATTTCGGCGCTGTGTTCTCCTTCCTCTGCCACACACCCCTCCAGTCCGGTTCTTACAGTCAGGCCCTCGGGTGCCACGGGGTGAGCCCCTCTGCCCGGAGCCCCCGGTCAGATCCGAGGGGAACCCTGCTCTCCTTCCCTTGGTGTGTAACAGGCTGGCTCCAGCGTGTTCATTGACGCGGTCACGTGATGCTACTCCCACTCTCTCGGGAGTTTTCGTTCGGCTCTTGGGGGAAGAAGGGAGGGAGCTCTGCACTGGATCTGCTCCCCTCCTGGGATGGGGGTTTGCGTATTGGAGGAGAGGGTAGTGTGCTCGTGTTTTATCCAGGACACTCAGCTTTCGTGGCACAGCTCAGTTATGCCTGAGCACTCTCAGAGGATGGAAGTGAGGAGAGGCGAGGTTTTTTTGTTTTCAACACATGTATATTTCATGTGCTATGATTAAGCAATGATTTATTTAGTACTAGAGGCCCTTGCAACTCTGGGTATGTCTGGAAGGTCATCCAGAAGGTCATTCGGCTGTCATATTACTCTTTTATTATTATAGATGTCACCAAAAACATGGGCAATTGCTATGGAGATCAGTGTGGAGTCTTCTATGCATCTTATCTGTGAGCTTTGAACTCTGAGAAGAGGGGAGTTTCAACGTTTTTATTTTACCGATGTGGAGATGAACGGTTGGAAGAGGCAGAGGCAGGGCCAGGCTCACCCACAGCACGGGGTGAGCTAAGTCCAGATCCTTGAGTTGTTTATCTACTAGAGCCAGGCGTGAACCGAGGAACTCAAGCTCCCTAACTTCTCTGGGCCTTTGGCAGGGTAGTTAGGAGCATTAAATGAGATGGTATGTAAGGGATCTCCAGCCTGGGGTCTGGCACTTACTAGGTTTTTAATACATGTTTGCAGTCATTAATGTTAAAGAGCCAACAGGTAGGTAGTTCATTGGCGGATTTCTTGTATAAATATTTCTTGTGGTTTCTCTTCTGTTTTGGGCCATCAGTGATTACCATAATTCTCAGGGAAGGCAGGGAGGGGCAGAGTCAGGGCCAAGTAGCCTCTTCCTCCATTTCCGTGAGCCACCGTGGCGTCATTGGCGATGTTCTTGAGGGGCACGTGCCTAGGAAGGTTGCGAACCCCTGAGGAAAGAAAGATCACTGGGTTCGTATTCCAACGAGGCCGTTTACATTTCTTTGAAAAAGAAAACAACAATGGCACAAAAGAATCAAATAAAAGGGATCCGTGAATTAAAACATGTTGAAAATCACAGTGAAGACCAGAACGCATCAGAACGTAGGCTGTCAGTAAGCCTGTCACTGGGGGTAGCGTATACTCCCCAATGCTCTGCAAGTCTTATTTTAGCTGCCATGTTAGCGTTAGCTGCCTTGCTCGCTGGTTCTTTTTGTCAGAACTACAGAAAGGAGCCCTGGCTGGTGTGGCCCAGTGGGTTGGGCATCATCCCATGCACAGAAAGGTTCAATTCCCGGTCAGTGCCCATGTCCAGGTTGTGGGCTCCGTCCCCGGTAGGGGGCGTGCAAGAGGCAGCCGATCTATGTTTCTCATCTGTGTTTCTCTCCCTTCCTCTCTCACTAAAAATCAATTAAAAATCTTTAAAAAATAAAATAAAAAAGAACTACAGAAAGGAAAACTATTTGTAGTTGGATACCATGGAGAAGTGCATTGACCAGGGAGGTGGAGTACAAACCACCCCCTTGATAATCAGCTGCCAAATAATTGAGAGTTAACTGTCCTTGAACCCCTACCCGCACCCTGCCCCTTGTTTGTGGTGACCCGACATCAGAAGATTAGACGGGAGAGCCAGGGCTGGGCCTTGAGACGCAAGAAAACAGAAAGCCCTTCACATTTCTATTTTGAGAAGCTGCTAGGGAGAGCCAGCTCCAAGTGTTGAGAATCAGCCTTTTGGAAAGCTTAACCCCTTCAGGACTAATGAGAAATGAAGGTGGCAATCCTTGGTTCCCCCCACGCCCACCCCTGCCATGCTCTTTCCTTAATGCTGGGCTTGGGGGACAATTTCTATAGGGAGAGGGAGGAGTGCTAATGTAAATATCACGTACACCCGAGGCTTCATTGAACCTCATTTGGCAGCTGGAGCCAGGAAGACACAGAGACTCTAAACCAGCGGTTCTCAACCTGTGGGTCGAGACCCCTTTGGGGGTCGAACGACCCTTTCACAGGGGTCGCCTAAGACCATCGGAAAACACATCTATAATTACACACTGTTTTTGTGATTAATCACTATGCTTTAATTATGTTCAATTTGTAACAATGAAATTGGGGGTCACCACAACATGAGGAACTGTATTAAAGGGTCGAGGCATTAGGAAGGTTGAGAACCGCTGCTCTAAACCCTTTCCTGGCGTTCAGATGAGAAGGTTCTAGGTCATGGACGGCATTTCTCCGCTGGTAGATGTGTGTCAATATATTTTTTTTCTTTTTTATTGACTTTGTTGGGGTGACATTGGTTAATGAAATTATATAGGTTTCAGGAGTACAATTCTATAACCATTAGCATGTCAATGTATTTTTTTAATCTTGTTATCGTGTCTGTGTTGTTTCCGGGACAGTGGTTTTCTTTACTTAAAAAGATAGGCTCCTTTAAAGATATTGTTTGAATCCCGGTTTCCCAGGAGACCCAGAGTTGTTGACAATAGCACAGGTGAACTAAAGGCAGGAACGCTTTTCTTCCGAATGGACCTGCCAGCCACATTGTGTGGTTTGGTTGATAATCAGGGGTTGGTGGAATAATAAGCTTTGCCGAGACAGTAGTAAACAGTCGGTCACATGGCATGGTGAGTAGGGGAAGGGCCAGATTTAGACTCGCACGAGGCCTGCATCAGCCTGAGCACGTCTCTCACGGATGGCTTTGGGTTTTGCTAGCTCCTAAGGCCAAAAGTGACCGAGTAATCAGATGAATCCAGTTTCCTTAATTTCAGGATCCTCTTGAAAAAGAGACTCACAGCAGAAGTCTCCCTTAGTAGGACAGAAGAACAGTGGGAAACACTTGGAAAAGGTGCATACTGGAGAGAGACTCAAAGGTGTCTTTAAATAGATCATAAAACATCCTAAAGTTAACACGGAGCATCTTTTCATATGCTGAAGCCACAGGATTTCTTAGTTTCTAATCTCTCAGGGTCAGAAAAGACCATAAAAATTTATCTCTTTCTCACCCTGGCCGGTGTAGCTCAGTTGGTTGAATGTCATCCCATGCACTGGATGGTCAAAGGTTGCTGGGCAGGGCACATGCCCAGGTTGCAGCACATGCTCGGGTTTTGGTTTGCTCCCTGGTTAGGATGCATACAGGAGGCAACCAATCGATGTTTCTCTCTCTTTCTCTCCCTTCCTCTCTCTCTACAAAAATCAATAAAAACATTTTAAGAAGCAGTGTTTTGTTTTTTTCTAAAGTCTTCTCTTATTTGCTATCTGATGTATTTCTTATCTTCATAATTTTCCAGCCTCTGCTTAGATCTCTGCAGTGATAGGGAACTCATTGCCTCTTAGGGCAGCCTATTTCTATTAAAAAAAAATACAGTTCTAATTATGTAAAGCATATAGCTCATATCGAGTCCCAAACTGCCTTCTTGTCTCTTCCCCGAGCTGACCTAGTCCCTGTTTTAAGAGCCTGCCTGAGTAAGCCTGGCCCTTCTTCCTCCCCGCAGCCATCACACTCACCCGAGGGGTTTGGTGTCCTATCTAAGCATCTTCAATTCTTCCCCCCATTTCTCATGCCATAATTTCTCCCATCTGACTGCGGCTGTTGGCAGCATTCCAGTTTTGTCAGTGTCCTTCTTAAAGTGTGTGCGTAAAATGAACAAAATATTCCAGATGTGAGCATTTTGGTACGGATAGGTACAGAAATCAGACTTAGCCTCTCTTTCCAGGGACATGGCGCATCTGTTAACGAGGCCTAACTGCGAATGAAATTTGGACAGCCATGCCACTTGTATTGAAATTTGCTTTTATAGTAGTCTTACACAATGGCTTTTGAACCTAAATGCAGGACTTCATATTGAAATGATTATAGTTAAATTGAACCTATGAGATTTGGCCCATTATTTCAGCCTGTTGAGATCTTTTTGGATTCTGACTTTAGTCTACTTTCCAGGTTTATGCCATCCAAGGATTTGATTAGCATACCATCTGTTTCCTCACTCAAGTCATTGATCAAATTATTGACTAGGACGCCACCAACTTAGAACACTGAGGCTTGTTATTAAAATCCTTCCCTCGCCTCCCCCCCAAAAAACATCCCCCCATGCCCAGCAGGTGTGGCTCAGTGGTTGAGTGTCAAACCATGCACCAAGAGGCCACCAGCTGATCTATATTGATGTTTCTCTCCCTCTCCTTTCCTCTTTTCCTAAAATCAATAAAAACAAAAACCTTCCCCCGGCAGAACATCAATCCATCCATTAGTACTCCTTGGGCACAGCATTTGGATGAAAACAAGTCCACCAAATTGTGGTTTTGGTATGTTGGGCGTGGCTAGAATGCAAGCTCAGCTAATGAAGATGATATTAGAAGGGCTAAGAAGGACAGTCCACCCCTTACCTCACCTTCAACCTGAACCTTGGGCCCCCATTCAGTTCTTTTTTATGCTAGTTTCTGAGTTTAGCCGCAGGAAGCATCCAGCCATTTATTTTCATGGCTTGTTTGCTGCCTTCCACTCTAACCAGCATCTTTCAAAAAGACTCCTGCGTTTCTTTGGTGCCTTTGTTGGTTCTTGCTTGGGTTGCTATCTCTCTTCTCACTCAAACTTTCTTAAGGGCAGAGTTCAGGCCTTGCTTCTTTTGGGAGCGATCCCTGGCTCCCCCACCCCCCAGTGATCTCTTTCTCCCAGATACCCTGCAGCACTTATTTGCAATTCTCATTTAGTATTTTAATGCCAACTTGAATTTTTGTTATCATTTTTCACAATAGCCCAAAACTGGCTATATTATGTAAATCCCTTGAGGGAAGGGACCACATCTAATATTCTCTGAAAACATGATCATTCCTTACACTTTTTAAATATATGCAGTATTTTCTTTTATGAATCATGTTTTTTTGTGTTCTAAGAAATCTCTGCTTATCCCAAGATCCCCCCCCCATATTTTCTTCTAGAAGTTATATAGTTTTAGTTTTTACATTTAGACATGTGATCTATTTTGAGTTTATTTTTGTGTGTGGTATGAGGTGTGGGTCAAGCTTTTTCATATGCGTGGGTCTATTTCTGGACTTTCTTCTCTGTCCCATTGAGCCGTATGTCTCTCCTTACACCAATGCCATAGGTCTTGATTTCTGTAGTTTTAAATTAGTCTTAAAATCACGCAGTGTAAGTCCTTTGTTTTTCTTTTTCAAAGTTGTTTTGGAAAAGAGAAGACAAAAATCATTTACCTTTCCATATAAATTTTAGAATCAGCTTGTCAATTTCTACAAAAATGTCAGCTGAGACTTTGAGATCGTATTGAATCCATAGGTAATTTGGGGGATAGTTGACATCTTAATACTGAATCTTCCAATCCATGAACATGGTATATCTCTCCATTTATTTAGGCCTTCTTTAATTTATCTCATCAGTAAACAGGTCTTTTTTTTATTTTATTTTTTTATTTTTTACAGAGAGGAAGGGAGAGAGATAGAGAGTTAGAAACATCGATGAGAGAGAAACATCGATCAGCCACCTCCTGCACATCCCCCACCGGGGATGTGCCCGCAACCCAGGTACATGCCCTTGACCGGAATCGAACCTGGGACCTTTCAGTCCGCAGGCCGACACTCTATCCACTGAGGCAAACCGGTTTCGGCCAGTAAACAGGTCTTATATGTATTTTTGTTAAAGTCATTAAGTATTTCATGTTTTTTGTACTATTGTGATATTTACATTTTTATTCTATATTTCATAATAGCCTATCAACATTTAATTTATGTTTGTATTTTGACCTTGTATTCTGCAACCTTGCATGTTTATTTGTTCTGATATCTTATTTGTGTATTCCTTAAGATTTTTTGTACATACAACCTAGTCTTCTGCAAATACAGTTTTACTTATTTGATTACAATCTTCATGCCTTTTCTTTTTCTTCTCCTTACTTTTGAGTCCTCATTTTTCACCTCAGCAGTAGTTTGATCATATTTCTTGTTTGTTGATAACAGTAATGACCACTATGTATTAAGACCTACTATGGCCCTGGCCGGTGTGGCTCAGTTTTTTGAGCATCATCTCCCACACCAAAAGGTCACCATTTCAATTCCAGGTCAGGGCATATACCCAGGTTATGGGTTCCATCCCAGTCAGGGTGTGGTTAGGGTGAGGGGGTGAGTGTAGGAGGCAGCAGGTCGATGTTTCTCTCTCACATCAATGTTTCTAAAATCAATAAAAACATTAAAAAAATACCTACCATATATCAAATACTATTCTAGATCCTCTGCATGTAATATTTTACATAATTCTTGCTGCACCTCTGTGAAATAGGTATTATGGTTTCCATTCTATGAACAAGGTCATTGGGGCTCAGAGAGACAAGTCATTTGCTGAGGTCAGTTAGCATTTGATACATATTGGAGTCAGGATTTGAACCCAGGGGTATTTGGCTTTGTGCTCCCTCCCCCTCAGCGCAGTGGGCCAGGCACTGAACTGGCCCTTTAAGGACACGGCTACGGGTTTCAGATCAGACAGTTGAGGACAGCTCTCTCCCAGAACCCCATGTATGGAGTGATGGGAAAACAGAGACTCTCAGAGAAATGGCCGGCTCCTGGCTGCCCTCGCTGGACCTCTGTGGTTCCAGCTGGCCGCGGAGTTATTTCCCTTGTTCATTGTTGGCAGGAGCTACGCACAATTCCCATCCGGTGCCTTTCCCTGTGTGGCAACTACCTCATCCAGCCCCTGCTGGGATGGGGTGTCATGGGGACCTTCAGCTGTACTTGTAAACAGGGCCCGGGCGGCCTGAGTCTGTGTGGCCTTGGGGAGAAGTGGATTCGGCCTCTCAGGATCCCATCGCAGCCTGATGTCAAGACCCAATGCCAGTGTATGGCGAGGCTGCTCCCAGCGCCGCTGGCTGCCTCTGACCGTGGGGCTTGCTCAGCTCTGAAAGCCCTGGCGGGAGAGGCAGGGGTGGGCAGAGACTTGGCAGTGCAGGCCGGTGACATCGGCACTGATGCCGCCTGGTGAGGTTTGGATGGGACTTCAGAGAGGAGTTGGTGGCAGTGGAGCCTGGGCCTCCTGGCTGGGCTCCTATGGACACAGCTTTTTTTGTTTCTAGACAGCACTTTTCTGGATCATTCTCCGGGCTTCTGACTAGCTCTTCCTAACGAGGCTTTGCTGCCGGCCCCGGGAAGAACTGGTTTAGTCAGCAGGTTCGCGCTTTCTCCAGGAGCAGCACCTGGCACCAGAGCAGATGACTCAGTGGCACTCTACCCAAACACACCCTGGTCTGAGATCATGAAAGTGCGTTGGCTGCAGGATGGGCGGGTGAGGGTCAGGGGTCGCGTGGGGATTGTAGTCTGACTGGATCGCATGTCCTGGTGGACGTCTGCCCAGGTGCCTGGAGGCACTGCCCTATCAGCAAACCACACGAGGGGCCCGGCTGTCCACGGGCATGGATGCGTTGGCACGGGTGGTGTGCGTTTCCCAGCCCGTGGGAATAGATGGATGCCGGGCTCCTGGGGGCAGCCACGGGGTGAGCACGTCTGCTTTCTGTCACCTCCACTGCACCCCCCCCCAACCTCCTGCTGATCCCAGGTGTATCTAGATTCCCGTTTACCATAAAGCTTACCTTCACTTTCTTTTTTTAAAATATATTTTATTGATTTTTTACAGAGAGAGGAAGGGAGAGAGATAGAGAGCTAGAAACATCGATGAGAGAGAAACATCGATCAGCTGCCTCCTGCACATCTCCCACTGGGGATGTGCCCGCAACCTAGGTACATGCCCTTGACCGGAATCGAACCAGGGACCCTCCAGTCCATAGGCCGACGCTCTATCCACTGAGCCAAACCGGTTTCGGCACCTTCACTTTCTAAAAAGCTAATAAGCCAAGGCTTTTCCTGCCTGAGTCAGCTAGTGAAAGTGTACAGATGGGAGGAAACATATATGCCTCCGAAAATGAGGGTTAAAAGATGAGAAGCTGGCACCCCCTCCCCCAGCACCCTCGCCGATGGCCGGGGGGAAGCTGTGCTCTAGGACAGGGCTGGCCAGGCCCCTGTGAGCAGTGGCACCACCTCTCCGTCCGCTGCTCTGTCATGTAGCTGGTAGTGTTGTGTTTCCCAATAGCCACCTGCTCCAGCAGCCTGGCCTGATGTGATTTCTTTCTCCTTCCCTCTTCCACCCACAGATGCTGTGACTGTGACAGAGTCGCTGGGGTTTGTACATGTTGGGGCGGAGCCTTCCTTTCGGGGGTGACCACACTCACCTGGGCATGCCTGCAGCACTCCGGGCGCATGGACCTGAAGGAGAAGCGTGCGGTAGGCCACGTTCGGTTCCCTTGTGGGCGTTGTCTATGTTTCTGTTGGAGTCTCCCTACTTGTGTTTGCCTGGGAGGTCCTCATCCGGGGCCTTTAAACCAAAAGTGAGAGAGAGGCGGGGCTCTGGGGCCTGGGGTGTGTGAGTGTGTTCAGTGGAGAGGGTGCTATGCTCAGCTGGAAAGCAGAGCCGCGGGGAGCCAGCTGGGGACAGAGATGGACCAGGTGACATGGCTGCGAGGGAGCAGGTTCTGATCTGGCTTGGCTCCGGGCCACTCTCACTTCTTGCCCAGGGGCGTGCAATTTTGTTTGTTTGCTCTTCGCTAGGGCTCTGTCCCAACCTGCCGGGCCCTGCTGAGTGCTGTTGGGCACCGTCTCTGTGGTTAGAGAAAAGCTCCCTGGTCAGACTGCAGACACAGCTGCGCAGTCAGTGCAGGTGAGCGGCGGGGGCCAGGGGCACCGGCTTCGCACCAGGTCCATTTGTCATCAGTTTCCCGCTCCTGGACGAAGGCTGCCCTGGAGGAGGTCCTTTTGTCCCCTGCCTGGACTCCGCCACACTTCCAGCAGGTCCCTCTGTCTCGGACTCCTTCCTCTACTCGGCTGTCAGAGGAAGCTACTCAAAACGCAGCTCTGACCTTCTGTCACCGCGCTTGAAAGTTGTCAGTGGCTTTCTGCCACCTGCCGCTGCTCTCAGTGTGGTGGGCAGAGCCCGCCGGGGCCCCGCCTGTGGCCATCGGCCCAGCGTTCCCAGCCTCCCCTGCCTTGGGCACACACTCCGCACTTAAGCAGTGACCCTAAAATGCTCCCCACCTTGTTTCCTGGGCAAACTCCTACTATTCTTTCTTCAAGACTCAGTGTAAGCATCACCTTCTCTCAATAAATCCATCATGCTTGCTCACTGCATTGAATAATCTGCCTGTCCCTGGCTCTTAGCGTAGTTCCTGGAATAGTAGCAAGGGCTTGGCAAATATTTATTCCCTTGAACTTATGGATAGTGATCTTCCTGCCAAGGAGATCTTGGGAAGTCCGGAGAGGGAGCTGTGGCCGCGGGGGATGCCTGGCTGCGGGCTGCCTTGGTCAGCTCCAGGCGTCACGTGCCTCTGCACCAGCTGTGGAACACGCTGGTGGACCTGAGCTTGAGGCAGGTTTGTTCAGCCTCCTGTTCACAGCTGCTTGGCTGCTCTGCAGGGATGGCCCAGCCGCGCTTGGCACACAGGGAGTGCACGCTGGCCTCCCCTCTGGCCTGGGTGCGAGGCTGCTGCATGCAGTTGCAAGGGGTGTGCGCTGCTCAGTTTCAGGGAGCACCCCACCGCCCCGAGGCTATGATGATGTGCCCCCGATGTCCTGCCTGGGCAAGGCTGACTGCCCGCCAAACAGAGGGCAGCACTGTGCTCCGGTTCCAGCCTGTTGCTAGTGAACTGGGGAGCAGGGCCCTGTGACCCAGGGGCTGGCTTCTCTGTCAAGCCTGAGGAAGAACACTCGAGGGCACAGGCTGGCTAGTTCTCAGGGGCCATTTTCCTGGAGGATTTCTCTTCATTCTCCTCTTTCTCTTTCTGGATAGCTGAGGGCTGAACTAAAAAGCAGCATCCCGGCCACACCTATGGAATACTGCCTTTGGGTCGGTGGAACTCTAGGCACTGGGGAGGTGGCCCCTGGCTTAGAGAGGCTTGGAGCCCATTGAGCAATTGATAGCACAAGCAACTAATAGAACCCCTTGGGCTTTCTCCCTGAGGCCCCTTGCGAGTTGTATAACTGGGCCTCTCGAGATCATCCCTGTGGCCTCTGACAGGCTTCTTGGAGGAGTGGGAGAGGGAGAGCCGATAATGGGAAGGGGGCCTGTCATCCCTGCTAGCGCCCAGGATCGGTCTGGCTGTTGCTGGTTGGTTTTCTGCACCCTGTCCCCCTTCTCTTTGTGACCGATTGTCCTCAGGGTCCCCTTAGGAGCCTCCCCCACCCCCGCCTCCTGTCCTCCAGCCCATAGTGGACGTGCTGTAGCAGCAGCGGCCTGGTGTCTGCTTCTTAGATGCAGAGCTGCCCTTGCGGTGCAGGAAGGGGTTCCCACAGAACACGGGCCGGAGGACCCTCTGAGCTGTCTTTCCAGGGCCTCACACAGGGGGGAGAGTGTTTGCTTAGTTGTGGTTCCCAGGGAGCCGAGCCTTGTAGAGCTAAAGGGGAGCACGACCCAGGAGCAGGGGAGAGTCAGGACTCTCTCTCCTTGCAGTTTGCAAAGGCTGCAGCGGACTCCTAGGCAGTGGCCAGAAGCTGCTCGAAAGCTGATCCTGCCTCCCCCCGGGCTTGCCTCAGGAGACTTCCTGCCCTTAACCTCTGGACTGCGGGCCCCTCCTTTTCTTTCCCACTCAGCCCTGGGTTTGGAGGGGCCCCTCAGGGAGCTGGCCTAGAGAAGGGGGAGGGGAGCGGCTGGCTGGAACCTTCCCTTCCCTGCAACTCGAGATGATGTGTGTCCTCTAGGAACCTCGGCCCTGGAGAAACAGGCTCGGGCTCAGGCCACGCCCCGCGGTCATTGGACCGTTAGGCGGCTTCCTCTCCCTTGGGTTGTGCAGCCCCATCCTAGGGGCAGCCTGGACATGGGCAGAGAAGTTTCCCATACAGTCCCAGGGCCTTTGGCCCTGCTTTACCCGGGAAGTGCTGACAGCTTCCTGTGTGTCCAGCTTGGGCGGAGAGATATTCAGGCTCCGCTGCTGCTCGGGGAGGGAGCCCCAGGTCACTGCCCTCCTCCCAGCCCCAGCAGCACTCGGCAGGTGTGACTGAATGCCCCGCGCTCATCAGCTGCCGGCATTGGACAGCCTGCTGGGGTCCCAGCACCCGCTGTGGGCAGGTGTTGGGTCCCAGGTGTTGGACTCCCCGAGGCCCTTCCTCTGGGGCTGGCTCTTCCCTCTTCCGCTCGCCCCCGGGCCCCTGCTCTGCCCTCCTGGAAGCTACTGCTTCAGACTTCTCGGTCCTTCCCTCTCCTGCAGGATGTGCTGCTATTAATAACCCGCAAGGCCCTCTCCCCTGCTTCCCGCAGCTCTGACTGTGGAGAGCTGTTGTTGGCTTGGCTCCACGCCGGGAGTCTCGGTGATTTCGGGGAGCCCTCATGATGGCAGGCTCTGCACATGGGGCTCCTACCCGTCCCCAGTAACGGGCCAAGGAAAGGTAGTCTGGGAAGAAGCCCAGGTGTGCCTTGATGCCTGCAGTTGCCCTGACAACAGCAGCGGTGTCCAGCAGTTCCTCCCTGCCGCCCACCCCTTGGCTGCACGTCACCCCTCTGCTCGCCCCACAGTGGCCTCCTCTGAGGAATAGGCCAACCTTCTGGGCATCTGGCAGCGCATCTACAAACTTTCTCCTCTCAGCCCCCTCTCTCCCCCTCCCTCTCCCTCCTCCCTGGCTGCTGTGCAGCCTGCCTCCTCCTCTTTCCTCCCTCAGTCTGCAGCGCGACTGGAAATAGGTTGAATTAATCAGCAGATTGGAGCTCCACTGGCTGCATGCGCGGTCGCTGCAGCACCAGCTCCTCGCTCACACGCTCTCTAGCTCTCC